AAAAATATTCGACATTGGGAGATTGTGATTTTTTTAGGAAGTTAAATGAAAATGATTTTAACTACTTCACAAGAATTAAATTATTCAACAAATTCGGCTAATAGTATTAAATTTATCAATTGACTCTATTACTTATCAACGTTATCCTGGGAATTATTGAAAAGTCTTAGTTTCATTTCACTCAATTAGTTAATACAACTGTATTTAAAATGTATTCTGTAAAAACAAATAAATAACTTAAAGGAAGTCTTGTAAAAACAACCAAAAGATCAGCTTTTTCTTTTTGAAAATCTTATTAAAAGAATCATAATTTAAAATCAAGGGTGTAATCAAACTTTAATTTTATCAAAATATAAGATTGTTGTAGTTTTAATTATACTATACTTGTATTGAAATTATATTTATCAAAACGTGATAATATTTTTTATGATAAGATTACCTGGATTATTTATAAATATAAAAATAAAAGGAAAATATAAATATAAATATAAAAAATAAAAACATTATTTTTATTTGATAAACTGTTATTATAAAATATTTAGCAATTCCGTAAAAGGTAAAAAATTACAAAATTTACTTTAAAGAAAACTGGAAATATTGGTCTAATTTTAGACAAAATGAAATAAAATCAGTTTTAGCATGAAATTTGGGCTGGTTAATTGAGAAAATGATTTGTTTCTAAACATGGATTTATATGGTTGAGTACAATAGAAGAAACTATAAAGCATCCACCAAAATCATGGGCACAATCATCTTCAGCAACTTTATATATCAAGCTTAACAACCGTAGTTCATACTTTATATAAAGCTTTACTTTTTCATTAAAGAGAAAACCACCAACTCCACAACCAAGATTAATGCAAGGTTGAATAATTATACTCGTGTACTTTGCAATTAATACAAATTTGTCCTCATTCTACTGTCCCAACTCATTATAAACATTAATAACAGACATTATCTGCCAAATGCTTCCATAGACTTAGATAACCTGATAACTAATTGGCAGCACGAAATAAACTAACAGCATCAGGTTGTTCAATTATGGTGCTACCATAATCAATAGTTTTCCATCGTTTAAGAGGTTAAGTGCAGTTTAAATACTTCTTATGTCTTTTACTGTTTGAGAAATTCTTTAAAGAAAAAACCGTTACGAAACTTCAATTTTTAAAGCAAACAATACTTTAGATATATGATATATATATGGTGATTGATCTTAACAATTTGAAGATACTAGAAGACAAAGGAGGATCTTATAAGGACACCTGGGTCCTTTGTAAGAACACCAATAGTATACAGAATTAGTGCTTCATAGCTTTGGATTGTTCATCTGCTATTGATAAAACAGCTGGTCAGGTCCACCATATAGATAAATAAACCCCTCTGTCAACTTGTCTGCATTCAATTCAACGCTCTATGCACTCTACTACAATATTATTCTTCAGTATTAATAATTTATTTTATCTTTAGTTGACACCGGATTCCCATTGTAATTCGTTTAAGATATTTTTACTTAATAGAATATTCCTTCTTTGTCAACATTCGTACAAGAAATGGTGAATAATTCCAAGACATGGGTGAACTAGATAGAGCCATGGCATTTATGTATTTATATAGAATATAGAGAATATTGTTTCATCCATTCCCCTGTTCTAGGAAATATATAACTCAGTGAAAGAATAACTAGCAACTCTACCCTGTTTTCTCTTCATCTCCTTACCCCCTCCTCCTTCAGAATTGTCCTCAGAAGAAGATCATGATGAGAGGGTTGAGAAATCCACCACTTTTTTCCAATATGCTTCTGGGATTTCTGCTGTTCTTGGAGCCATGGCCAAATGATGCCACAAGAAAGGAAGTAGAAACCTGATCAGGACATTTGACCTGAGAAAATCTGCCCTCTAGGCAAGTCTGCTGCTTGGCTTTTCATCTCTCTCTCTCTCTGCTGTTGGGTTTGCTGAGAATCAAATAAGGCATGGATCATGTCATGAACTTTCTGTTTAATTAGTACCCATCTGGGCCAATATGTTATGTATATCCTTCTCTGCTCCACAGCAGTTGCATTTATACTACTACTTGTATGAAACTTTTATCATACCTCAGTTTTTTTTTTCTGTTCGTTTAGTTTGGATTCTTACTTTGTTGTATTGATTATGTACAACCGGCAAAGGCCTGGTAATAAAAAGAACAAAAAAGCTTACTGTTTTCTCTAAATTAATTAATCAGATATACTATTTGCTGGATTTATCAAAGCTCTTCCAATGAGAATATAATCACATGACATGATCCTTTATGTCTTTGTATTATTGAAAGTAACAGTCACTCCCTTTATGAGATATTGCAGTTGCAGTGTGTGCACACATGCAATGGCTAGGGAGTAGTGCACAATTGTACAACCTAGAATGATTACTGACTTGAGCTAAGTAATAAAATGAGAGCATGCTTTGCAGAAGAAGAAAAGAATCAATAAATTACACAAGCATCTGGCCACGACCTGTATGTATTTTGGTTCAAAACCATGCAATTCCAATGGCAGATTCTTGAGCACGCACAGATACGTTAAGTATGAATGTAAAGCATGTATCATGCATCTACACCTTGCTTCAGATCTAATGAAATAATCTGATGATTCTAAGTTCAAAAGGAAGTATTAGACTTTTTTTCTTGTGGAAGGTAGAATCTATCTAGATAAAATTTTGTACAAATAAAAAAATGAAATCAACTTTTCATTGGTTAAAGTTAGTTTATATATAGAATAATTATTATTAACCAACTCGTATTAGCTTCTCAAAAATGTTTTTAACTTTAATTTTAACTTACAGAAAAAAATATTCTTTCCTAGAATTGTTTTTGCTATAAAATTTCTATCTGGCCTGAAATGTATTAAACATCTGTTACAATTAGCAGCATCTGCAGAGAGGCTTTTGAGTTCTATGAAAGTTAGCTGCAACTCATATTGCTGTGATAAATTCTATTTTGTATTTTGGCGCAAGTTGGAAATTCATGATGTCTGATTTGAATAATTTGATACTTCAAATTACTTCATAAAGCTACGGTTAAGAGTGTTTCACGTTCGCTTCTGATGAACAATCATGCCGTACAAAAATGGTATTTTTGTATCTTCAAGTCATAAAAGTCTTTGCAATTATCATATTCTTATTACTTTTTATTTTCAAAATGCTAATTAAGAGAACAAATCAAACTGGTTGATCTGGTCAAACATCTAACAATTATATCACTTGAGTTCATAATAAATGGCCCTGAACGATCTGAGGTAAATCTTCATCAAAGTTTATAATCGGATTAACAATAGAAAATGAAGATTAAGCCCCACTGCGAACTTACATGCACTGGGGGGAAATAATAAATTCAGCAAGTTAGTAGTTCTATTTCCGAGTAAAGACAAATAGAAGGCACATATCTATAGTTTTCTCCAATAATTAATCAGTAAATTTCATCTGCCACACTTTTACTTCAGGATAAGCATAATAATTCCCGTCAACTCACCTTCAATTTGTCCATTATCTACGTTTTTTCTTTATTAAATATATGAGTTGGTTGCCATGTGTCCCACCTGGTGGAAAGTGATGCGCACCAACAAAACTATAACCTGTCTGAATAAATAAGTTTTTATTATTGGCCTGTGAGTCATCAAGGAAAAACTGACAAGCCAAATATGATTAACTTTGATACTTTGATTAGATATAGGGTAGTTCTTAGTTCTTACTGAACAAAACCAGAACCAATAGAGCAGCACCAATACAACATCCAGAAACAATACAAACAAGGACTCTTTTTCTAACTTTTTTTATACTTTCCACTCTCTATTTTGACTTCAAGTGACTAAAATTGATACCCATTATGAATTTTTTTGAGTAATTAACCACTTGGGTTGCCATGCCTGTACCATTTTTGAACTTCATGATTTTTAAAAAGATATAGACTAAGAATTTAATAATTTGACTCTCTATAAGTGCTACTTACACTAGAACAGAAAAGAGATCTTGTATGAATAAAATCATAACTAGATTTTCTTGTGCGAGTTCCACTATCACGGGGAACAAGTATGGCAAGTCAAGATTGCTATGAATCTAGTATAGAAATTGGTCTTGAGTGAGGCTTTGCACTGTCGGAGTAACAGTGTATGTGCCACATAAGAAGTTTATAGGATGTTTTTACCTATCTCATAACAAAGCTAACATAAAACACAGAACACAGTAAAGATATTATGCTAGTTATTGCCACCTCGCATAGAAGTGGATCCCATATGGAGGACAAGGACGAAAAGAAAAGTATACTGAAAGATACAAATTGGTTCTCTTTATTAAGAAAAGCAGAGATGAGAGATGAAAAGGAAGAAAGTGACAAAACTTGAACTTTATATCTCTTCCTCTCTTATCGTATAAGATACGGATAATGTATAAAACAGGTTCTGGGTTGTACCCGATGTGCACCACTCAGTAGTTGGTTAAGACTAGTTAATATAATCACAGTTGTTCATTTAGTAAATTAAAGGTACTCTCACTGTGGTTCCATAAAATTGCAAACAACTTTCATACACTGATACACAGATTTTCAAACAAACAAAAGGTTGGTGTAATATATGAAGATACAATTAACTTTTTTTTTGTTCGTTAAACCTGTCAAGTGTGTGTTCGAATTAAGGCTGAAGTACTGCCAAAACCACTCTGAAGGTGAAAGATAAAAAAAAATCTTAAATATGTTCACTAAAATTACGAATATTTATCCAAATATGGACTAATATTCACATGTTTTACTCATGTAACTGATTGGAATTAATTTACACAACCAACCAATATTTAATGTTTTAAACCAATGCTCTCAGTGTTTAGGGGTTCAGACTTGGTAAAAACATAAAGTGATTAAAGTAAACTACGAGCACTGATAATCTTTAATAAAAATGAAATTAACATGAGCAAAAATGCACCATTTGTAAACAATTATGCAAATGTGTTTTAAGAACAAAAATATAAGTTTCATTAATCACATATGCCAACTTGTTTACTCTTTTTTTTTTGTAGTCATTTCCCAAGCAACTACACAAGCAGGTTTTTCTTAAAAAAATGTTTATCTTATTTGAGACTAGATTGTACTCTTGAAGGAGCCACCTAATCTCTTAAAAGAAGACTAATGAAGCAATGCAATTATGATAACTAGGAAAAATACATTATGCTAAGTTGACAAAATTAGTTTTACATTTGTCAAGGGAACAACGCTACCCGTTATTATTGTGTTCAACTATAGGACTATAGGGTAGCTGTCAAAAAATGCTTCCCGTTGGTTGAATACAATAATAACCACACTAACTCTCAAATATTAGATAAGCTAGATGAATACAATAACAATCACACTACCAGTTGATTAAAAAGTTTTTTGGTTTTATCAAAAACCAAACTTAGAGGTTTTCCTAAGAATTTCTTCAGCGCAATGCCACGCTTTGTTGTAATTTTTGCATGAGCAGTCCAAGCTCAGATAAAATGTGAGGGTCGGTGTATGGCAACGTATCCAAGTCCTGCATGGATCCATGATCCATATTTTAATGAAATAGAGGTGAATAAAGAAACAATCTAACGCAATTTGCATCACCTCAAAGAATTCAATCAACAGCAGAAGCTTGCATTGCGTGCGACATCCCTCTCTTCAAACCCTTTCACAAATGATCTGATAGCAAGATGTTCCGAAGAGTATGTCATGAAAGATACTAATATTACGCCCCCGACAACCATCAAACCTAACCTGTTAGAAATATAAAAAAAAACGTAAGTGGAAATTCGAAGAGAAAAATGCTGTTTTTTCCTCTTAACTACTTGGAATTTACAAAACCGAAATATAGTTAACTTCACCTCAAGCTGAATGTATAAGAAAAAGGGAAGATAATTTTGGTGGCATTGTGTGTGCCGAAAAAGAGCAACAAAAAGCGCCAAAATTCATCAGAAGACAGGAAAAAGAAAGACCCTCCCCATTCAAGCATGTTGCTTTTTGACCAGAAACCCATACCGTTTGTTAAAAATTTACTTCACATCTTCCTCCCTCTCTCTTAAAGAAGCATGAAAATAACAGCAGAAAAAGTTATCAACACACCTAATAGTTTCTAAACTGCCATTCTAGCTTGATGTGTAGAAGAGGGACTTTATTAATATCCAAGCCAAAAATAAAGTATAGAATGACCAATATAATCGTCAAATAATTCTATATTTCATGATCCACCCTCCATGTCTTGGGGAGGATAAAATCACAACTCACAAAGCATATCAGATGCGCTTTGACCGTGATTACAAGTTACCACTCGAAAGAGGCCAGCCGCAAACAGTGTGTTCTTTGAAAGTTTTTAGTTTTTGACATTTAATATTCGACTATAGTCAATTATCACAAAAACATACAGAGAAGAAAGTGTTATTTTTAAAATTTAAACGAAAAATAGGGCCAATAGAATTATACAGAAAATAAATAGAAAGTCGAACAAGATCAAGCATGATAGCAACAGTATATATTTAATGATATCTTTACTAATAAAGAAAACTACCGTAAAAACAATGCAGTGATCCCAAAAATAAAAGGCAAACAGGGAGCAGCAATGGCCAAGAGGGCCATCCCTAAACCATAGAACCACGTAGCAGCATTACATGATGACATCTGACGCTGGTGACCTGTTAATAATATAAATGAGATAAAACAAAGGATGATAACTAAAAAAGTAAATATAAAAATAAAAAGTCCTCAGGACACAGATGAAAGACAATCCCCGAATGGGCTCTACTCCGCCAGAACTTACCTTTTCCAGAATCCTCATCAGAAGATTCGGGATGAGTAAACGAGGAAGGCGTATGGGATGCCATAATTTTTCCCCATTGATAAATCAAATTGAGATAACTCCCAAATAATGTAATGAAGATTGTGAATATCCATTCATAAACCAAAAGAAAACCAGTCCATGGAGCCACTTGCCGAGGTACTATCAAGAAAGCTAGTCCAAGAGACGCCACGGCAGCCAACAAACAGACACAGACAGAAATAATGTCCAAATATGCAGGCACCTTGTTCTGAGCACCTTCTATGAGCTGTTTAACACCACAACTAATAGTCAGTATTGCTTATAGAAAAAATAATACATGGTATTTTAAAAATCCAAATACACAAGCACCATGCATATCCAACCCAATCATCAGATGAGTATGCAAGGACACCTCACATAAGAGGATTCAAATTCTTAGTCGAGGTAGAAATGATAGTTGAGGTATAGAATTAAAAACTGACCTGATGAGTGGAACTGATAGTTGAGGAAGAAATAGGAGCATATACAATTGGCCCGCCTGATTTAATCCTGTAATAAAGTTGTCTGATATGATCACGTGAGTTTCTATAACAGGAACCATAGTACCCTTGATTCTGCAGAAAATACAATATTATGAGGCGCATGGAATTCCTAATGCATAAAGAATAAAATCAATCCACGATAGCTGACCTTTAGAAATGAACGATAGCTGAAGAACAGCACAGCACAAAATGGTAACAGAAAAAGAAAGTTTACAAGAAAATAATCTTTAGGATTTTGGCCCCCTTTAGTTCCAGGAAGGGATTCCTGCAGTTGTTCCCTTACATTCTGCAGCACAAACAAGGTAACAGCAAATTGTTTGCATTACTTTTTGTCACAAACTTCAACATAGTCACATGACTACTTAAGCAAGATGGCCTTTCAAAAATTTACAGGAAAAAACATTTGAGATATTGATAAAATACGATAATAAGTAGCACAAGTACCTGCCAGACATCAACAGGTTTCACTAGCCAAGATGTCCACCAGTCCCAAGGTTTAAGAGGGCCAAGTGTATAGTGAATCACGCGGAGTTCATTCTCATCTACCATCCACTGGACAAGTCAGCATGAATAGTTATATAACTGAAGTAAAAGATGCAATGTAAAGGAACACCGAGATATTTAAATGCATATATTTGGTGTACGTGAGAGGATGCATGAAATATTAATAGCAGCTAACGCAAACTAGGAAAATAAGTACAAGTCTACAACCAATATGAGTTGCAAAAGCTGAAATGCTGAAATGTTCATTCACCTCCCACCATTTTTAAAATAATTTTGAATTGATTCAAAGGAAAAGGTTTCCAACAGACCAAATGGTAGAACACCAAAGTATTTGAAAGGAGTAACATTAAATCACACAGAATACGCAAAACACGGCCGAATTTTCTGTCCCGGGGTCGTCATAGACTCCTTCAGAGAAGTGTTCTCTGTCCAAATTACTGGAAAACGATACACAAGTATCCCGAAATTAGATACATATTCAAAAAATATGTAACTTCTACAAACCTTTTGCCTTAAAAACAGTCAGCATTACGACTACTGTTCACGATATTGTAATAATACATCTACAATCTATGACAATTGGGGGATTCTACACAACTTTCTTTTCTTCAAAATTACTTTTAAGTATAATTATTTCCTTTGTACACAAGCTACATAACTGTTATCTTTCCTGTCGTTGTTCTTTCAAAATTTTTTTTCAATATCTCTTGCATCGAACAAACAGAGAAGAACAATAAAAATATATTTTAACGAACTCGTACATATTACGCTTGTGATTTCACTATAATTGCTAATGACAATTATTATTACACCTATTTTAATATACAACTGCTGCTACTTTCAGCCAATAACTGTCTCAGTTCCCATCATTTACCACCTACTGAAAAATCATCCTTGAATGTAGAAATTGTTTTTTCCGCACTATCTTTGTCCACTTGATTTCACTCTATGCTTAATTCTGCCAATTTAATCTTCACTAACCTAATCAAGAATGCTCTTCCTCACACAAGAACACAAGAAAGGACGAAAGAATATAGAATGATATTCACAGACCAATGTTTGTACAGTGAGAACAGAGGCTTAACCCTCTTCACAGGTCAATACCTGTCAACAACTAACTCTCCAAAAGTCCCTCTCCCACTAACCAACCCTTTATTTATAACTACCTCATCCTCCCCCCTTAGCTGTCGAACAGTTAAATGATGACAGCTAACTCGCTCTCTCATTCCTTCTCTCATATACAATTCACCCCTGCTTATTATTCTTATGCCTATCACCAGCCAATAATGTCATCTCCGTTGAAAGATGGCAAATCTACGTTCTTAACAACCAAACAGACTACGATTGTCATCCTGACATTTTTATTGAATTTGATCCCTTCTCTTCTGTAATCTACTAAAAAAATCTCTAAATCTACTCAAAATTTGCCAATGTCTTGTCAACACAGACCGAAGCCTCAGTTCTGGCTTCCATCCCCTCCAAATTTCTCTTTCAATTCATTCTACCTCCCTATCAAATGCATCATGATATTACTCTTAACTGGTCAGAAGAATTCCTTCCTTTTAATCTGGCACGTTGGACACCAAAAATGATAAAATACCAATTGACATATTGGAGAAGGGTAATATTAAATCACATAGAATACACAATAGTACAGCAGAATTTGATATCCTAAAGTCATTGACTTCTACAGAGAAGAGTTTTCTGTCCAAAATACTATAAAATAATACACAAGTGTCTCCCTGTTACGCACATTTTAATATGTAACTTCACCTAACTTTCTAACCCTAAGTTATCAAATTATAGTTATTATTCAACTTAAAAATGCATTGATGCTAATGACAGTGAGTATTTCACCTATCTTGAAATGCAACAGATCCTACTTTCTGCCAATAATTGTCATAAGTACCCCTAACTCAATTCCCATCGCCACACATGCCCCAAAACCCAGATTCTAACAGGAATTAAAGAAGTTTAAAATGTTAACATCATGGAAAATTCCTAGGCCTTCCTTCTACATCATCACCTTGACCCATCTATATATCAAAATTAACAAGTGCAGATTCTAACTGCCAAAATTTCCATATGCCAACAGTAAAATTTGAATACAACAGCAGTATCACAGCACTAAATAATTCCTTTAAGCAGTCTTCTAATATATTAATATCGGTCACACCGCAATGCCATAACTATTAAAGATCGACATCAGCACTCATTCCAATTTCTAAACAATAAGCTCCTAAGCCAGCAAAAAGGAATTCGTCACAAAATAAATTCCCTGCCATCATTGGGTTGGCAGTTTCATCTTCTCGTTCATTCCATCAATTTACATCCAATTGTTACAAAAGATTTATTTAATTCTTCCTTTAACATATCCAGAAAGGCTTTAATTACTGGTACATTAATTAAAAATGTACTATTCCCACGACGAATATATGTTCTTCAGACAGTAGGTGTTAAACTAATTGCATCATGTGAATTGGAACATTAACTAAACATCAATACATGAACATGTAAAACTTTTACAAGTTAAATATGAAGCAAATAAGGCAACTAAATCTAGCAGGCGTCCATCTGAACTCAAAACTCGAATAAGGAGGTAAAGCATCATACTTAAGTTACGAAGGGAAAAAACAAAACGGGAGATGTATCACTTATGTCTTGCCCCTAAATACTTATAGGAAGGAACCATCCTCTTATTTACCTATATTCCAGTACCTTGTTAGCCAGCATGTAAAGACCAACATCTGCATTATAAAGAGTGGAAAGTCGCTCCATTTCAGGAACTGGTCTATTTTCCAACATTTCGGGGGTCAAATTTGGCTCAAAAATATGTGCGTTGGGAAATCCAGAGTAATATGAATTGAGAAATCCCTGATCCCCTGTGAAAGCAGGAATATAGATAAAGACAATTGTTCAACCCTAGTAGGTCCAAATCCATATCTGATACAAGTTTCTTCAAGAAAGGAATAAAATAATTGCACATAATTAGTTAAAAAAGAAAAATCTAATACCTCCAGTGTAAGATGGCAGAGTGTTTACTTTACTCATCATGTCATTGAAAACGGCAGCAGATGGCTGGACCACCATGACTCCTGAATTCAACCTCTCAGAATGTTTTAAATTAGCACAGAATTTCCCACATTTGAATAGGTCTTCAATATTCTTAACCACAATAGTGTCAGCATCCAGATAAACAACTGCACGCACACATTCAAGAAACCCAATAAATCATACTTCATAAACATGGCAAACTACATCCTATAGGAAATGAAAAACCCCAAAAGGAAAGTTTATAGTGTCCTCTACAACTTCCATAACCAGACTCAAGAAACAACACAAGAATCATAAACACTAGACCTTTCTTGTAGTCAGTCATGTTAAATATTTTGAGCTTTGTATAGACACCCCAAAATCTCGTTGGACGTACTTGATTAGGATTGGCCAGCAAACTAATCTTCTCAATTATCCACCCATCAGCCTACACACACAAAAAAAAAAAAACTGCATAAACCATACCCACCATACGTGAATGAAGAGTTTCAAAATCAACAAAACCATTCATAACCGCCAAAATTTACGATTCACGTCAAATGAAACAGTAATATCAAATTTAATATAAAGTGGCAGTCTAAGTAAAACTGAATAAAAGATTTCATTTCTCGTTCCGCACTAATACAATTCGCATAGGAAAGCAGTACCTCGAGAACATTATTGGCATAATCAGAGACACCATCAGAGACCAAAACGACCATGTCTTTGTTGGATCCAGTGTCCCGTATAGATTTTCCCAGAACTCGAATGCCCAACAAGAATTCATCTCCGTACAATAGAGTCACGTATGCCACGTCAGTCCTCTCAGATCCCAAAGATTGAACTGAAAACAACAAAACTGCGAGCCATAACCATATACTTGTACACGATTTCATTCTAACTCGATTTTTCACGTTAAACATTTTCTCCGTAAAAATCCCTTCTCGCTTAGAATTCGAACCGTTGAAGGGATTTGAATTTTCTGTGCATGCTGTGGCCTACTGTGTTTTGTTTTGATACCGAGTTTGCATGACATCGTGGGCCAGAAAAAAAAATTACCACATTACACACATTTTTAATTAAAACAGATAAAGTATTCCAGTTATTTAATTTAATTATTACTGGTGGAAACTGCATGTCCACATTTCCTTGTAATAATATAATAATAATAATTCATAATAAGAATAATTAAACTTGTTATACTTAATATTATAACTAGCAGAAACACAATCCGGATTACATTGTATGTTCGCATTTTTTTTATTATATTCTCTAATAATTATTTATAAATAAATATATATGATTTTTTATTTTATGTGATTTTATTTATTGTAAGAAAATAAAATAATTAAATATATTGTTAATTGACATTATAATATTGAAGATATGTTATGTTAAGAAGTTTAGTTGTACAAAATGAAAATTCAGTGCACTTATAATTTAATTTTACTTAAAATATGATCAATTATATCTTTTTTAATTAAAAATGTTTTTAATTTTGAACTTTGGTTGAAAAATTATAATCTTTTTATGTTTCAAACTTTAATATAATTTAGAATTTAAGCATTAAAAATAAATAAATACAATTATTTTAATATAATTGTATGAAATAATTTTATGGTATTAAACGAAATTTCAAACTATGAGTTATTTACACAATTTGATAAGTTTATGAGATTGTAATCATAATCTTATTTAAAATAACTTAAAATTATAAATTAGTTTCAAAATCATCTTTTAATTTCTACAAATCCTCTTTTATAATTTCTCAATTTACTTATAAAAACATATTTAAATATTATAAATTATTTTTCTTAATGTAAGTGTTTGATATGCAGACAGTGATACATAAGTAGTGAATTATGATTAAATACAAAATTTCTAATCATGTATACCAAAGGTTGCTTCATGATAAATTATAACTATTGTGTAGTTTGGCTTTCTAATATGTTTGAAAGGAACAAAACCATAATGAATTTTCAACTCATCGAAAATCTGCTGGCGAGTGGTATATATAAGTGACCTTTCTTCACCGTTGAAGAACTACAAACCATATTATAAACCAAAAATAATTGTATACAATAAAAGCATATAATGTAGCTTTACTAAATATAAAATTTGATCATTCATTTAGTTCTTTTAATTTATATATACTTAAAAATCATTCTATACATATTTTGTTTAATCTTTTCTATATCATACATACATTATTTCTATAATATTTAAAACTTATAGATTATGTTCGATTAAAAAAACTGACAGGTGATTAAGAAAAATGAAACGTTATCTTTTGTATAAATAGAGGTTATCTTTTTGTGAACTTCCACTCATCCTTCTTATCCTTTCTTTGGTTTGTTTCTCTCACTCTCCATGCTTTACTCATTACAACGTTTTAAATATCAAACTATGAATACGAAGGAATTCATATTCCTCGTGGCTCAAAATGCATGTCCCTGAAATTCATTCATTCATTCCCAAACACACGGCAAGTCTGCTTCTTGGCTCTTTTTAATCAAATTTCGATACCATGTTGTAAGAATGATTACATAGATATATCTTACATTGTTGTTCGATACCATGTTGTAAGAGTGATTACGTTGTTGGCTACTTTTTATGTACATCAGATGTTATAACTTTTATTCATCTACTTAATTTCACTCTTGTTGCATATTCCATAGAGAGAAGATAATCACCCACCAAGCTCTATAATCTTCATCTCAGCTGCGTTAAGTTTTACAACAAAATTATTTGAGAAAATTTAGTATTTTAATTGATATTTAGTTTACTGTTTTCGTTTATAGAAAGTAATAATTAATTACGGGTTATATAAATCTCTAACATAGTGTCCCTGTCCAAAGCTACTAGAATTTAAAATCATATGAAACTCAGCTGTCACCTTGTTTACCAATATGGATAAGTTCGCCACGCTTTTCCTCTATCTTTTACCAACATCTATTCTTTAAAATACATACCTATCTCCATGCTTTATAAAATTTAAATATTTTTTCATAAAATTTATAAATTAACTTATACATTTTTTAATATTTTATATAAAATAGAGATAATGTTGAAAGTCTCAGTCAATTAAATAATAATATTAATTTAGAATATAAATAAACACATATTAAAAACCGGTTTTATATGATTAAATTAAATTTAAAATTTTTTAAATCCATTTCTTAACAATAAATCTAAATTATAAATTATAATATATAAATTAGTATGATTATTCGATCAACAGAAAACCGGATAGTATTATTAATTTAGAATTTAAGAAGAGTCGACTGGTTAATCAAACAGTTCTTTTTTAAAATTCCTGATTAATAATATCATCCGGTCTTCTAAAAAGTTATATTATACAAATATAAATTTAATATTACAAATTAAATTTGATTTAAAATTAACTTCCTACCATATTTATTTAGTTAATATATAAGTTCTCGTAGAGTTCTCTATTCTATCTCTTTTTGCTATGAAAATTAGTTAAAAAGTAGTTATGTATAAGACATTGTTGAGGAATGAATAAAATACATTACTTTTTTTTCACTTAGAAGACGTCAATTTCAACAAAAATTTCTTGTTATGTGCGATAAATGAAGCAAAATTTTGAACAAGTCTTACCCTTAGCCGTATCACTCCAAATCGATTTTATCCTTGCTTAAGGACTACGACTTTTTCCTAACCTGTTTTTTTTTATTCTATCTATTTATTTATTATAGAAATATATTCCTTAGTATGATTTTACTTTAAAAAAATAAAAAATGTAATCTAACTCATCCAGTCATGATGACTTAATTATTATATTTTTTACACTCAGTAAATTTTAAATTATGTGAATTTAGGCTTGTCAAATATGTAAAATTTTTATATTTTTATATTTTTATATTTTTATATTTTTATATTTTTATATTTTTATATTTTTATATTTTTATAAAATATTTAATGTGTGTAAGGGTGAATTAGTTAACTAAATGCAAAACTCTCATTCAGCAGTGCAGAACATACCTTCTTTCATTCTACATATAATAATTGATTTTTATTATGAGACAGTGTAGAAGATAATTCTAACCGCTCGAAATTTATAAACTTTATGAACAATGAAAAAAAAAAGTCATCCAATTTAACTGGTCCCTCCCTCCCAGTACTAGATGGCTGAAATATCATTAGTGATATTTTTAGAAACTCTAAGGTAGAGATTAGGGGTTGTTTCTATAGTCATCATCAAGAGCTTGTGGGAGAGATATATGAATGAAAGGTAGCAAGTTAAAAATGATGAAATTCTATTTAATATTCAATACAACCCTCACAAGTTATAGACATCATCTCGAGCGTGAGAGGGTCAATACGGGACTTTCAATAGATGTNATAACAACCAAACAGACTACGATTGTCATCCTGACATTTTTATTGAATTTGATCCCTTCTCTTCTGTAATCTACTAAAAAAATCTCTAAATCTACTCAAAATTTGCCAATGTCTTGTCAACACAGACCGAAGCCTCAGTTATGGCTTCCATCCCCTCCAAATTTCTCTTTCAATTCATTCTACCTCCCTATCAAATGCATCATGATATTACTCTTAACTGGTCAGAAGAATTCCTTCCTTTTAATCTGGCACGTTGGACACCAAAAATGATAAAATACCAATTGACATATTGGAGAAGGGTAATATTAAATCACATAGAATACACAATAGTACAGCAGAATTTGATATCCTAAAGTCATTGACTTCTACAGAGAAGAGTTTTCTGTCCAAAATACTATAAAATAATACACAAGTGTCTCCCTGTTACGCACATTTTAATATGTAACTTCACCTAACTTTCTAACCCTAAGTTATCAAATTATAGTTATTATTCAACTTAAAAATGCATTGATGCTAATGACAGTGAGTATTTCACCTATCTTGAAATGCAACAGATCCTACTTTCTGCCAATAATTGTCATAAGTACCCCTAACTCAATTCCCATCGCCACACATGCCCCAAAACCCAGATTCTAACAGGAATTAAAGAAGTTTAAAATGTTAACATCATGGAAAATTCCTAGGCCTTCCTTCTACATCATCACCTTGACCCATCTATATATCAAAATTAACAAGTGCAGATTCTAACTGCCAAAATTTCCATATGCCAACAGTAAAATTTGAATACAACAGCAGTATCACAGCACTAAATAATTCCTTTAAGCAGTCTTCTAATATATTAATATCGGTCACACCGCAATGCCATAACTATTAAAGATCGACATCAGCACTCATTCCAATTTCTAAACAATAAGCTCCTAAGCCAGCAAAAAGGAATTCGTCACAAAATAAATTCCCTGCCATCATTGGGTTGGCAGTTTCATCTTCTCGTTCATTCCATCAATTTACATACAATTGTTACAAAAGATTTATTTAATTCTTCCTTTAACATATCCAGAAAGGCTTTAATTAATGGTACATTAATTAAAAATGTACTATTCCCACGACGAATATATGTTCTTCAGACAGTAGGTGTTAAACTAATTGCATCATGTGAATTGGAACATTAACTAAACATCAATACATGAACATGTAAAACTTTTACAAGTTAAATATGAAGCAAATAAGGCAACTAAATCTAGCAGGCGTCCATCTGAACTCAAAACTCGAATAAGGAGGTAAAGCATCATACTTAAGTTACGAAGGGAAAAAACAAAACGGGAGATGTATCACTTATGTCTTGCCCCTAAATACTTATAGGAAGGAACCATCCTCTTATTTACCTATATTCCAGTACCTTGTTAGCCAGCATGTAAAGACCAACATCTGCATTATAAAGAGTGGAAAGTCGCTCCATTTCAGGAACTGGTCTATTTTCCAACATTTCGGGGGTCAAATTTGGCTCAAAAATATGTGCGTTGGGAAATCCAGAGTAATATGAATTGAGAAATCCATGATCCCCTGTGAAAGCAGGAATATAGATAAAGACAATTGTTCAAC